AAAATTGAAGCGACATTGAATTTTTATGAGAAATACATGAAAAATTATGATACTGGTTGGCAAATTTTTCGGGTGCTCTACCACAATCCTAGGACCCGATCGTGCATTCGTAAGATTTCGGCACTCTCCGTCCTCCCTCCGCANCTGGTTGGCAAATTTTTCGGGTGCTCTACCACAATCCTAGGACCCGATCGCGCATTCGTAAGATTTCGGCACTCTCCGTCCTCCCTCCGCAACCACAAACGTCAACTCAACGTGACCAGATGATTTATTCCGTCGCCTCCTCAGCCTCCTCTCTCATATATCTCCTTACTGAAACCCCAGATTAATGGTTTTCCTAATATCAATTCAGTAAAATATTAATTAGTGTTGTGATAAAACGGTTAAGAAATAAAATGACTGCCCTTTATTTTCTCTTCATGAGGTGTATAACGCTGTAGAGATACATTGGACTGTCAAACGTTCCATATACGTTTGCCGCGCATTCCGCTTTTAATATGGGAGAGGGGATAAGGAGGAGAGGTTAAAATAAAATTGATAGGATGATATGCTGAATGACAATGTTTACTCATTTTTAACTATTGAATGTAATTTATCATGTAATAGAAAACAGTCAGGGATCAAGCTTTTATTGTGCGGTACCGGAGTTTTTACTATGCAGCACCGAATTTTTTCTGGTGCTAGACGATTGAACCCACTTTACGAGACGGCACGGTAATTTTTGCCTGAATTTCTCCTGAAAAATTTTGGAATTTTTTTCTCCGTGCGGGCTCACCGTTGGGAGGAAATGATATAGGAAATAAGTCTGAGAAGCAGGGAAAAAGCAACTGATACTTATGGCCACTGCCAATTACTATAACTGACGACTCTACGTCCAATCAAGACTCTAAGAAAATTCTGTCCACTCCAGGGGATGTCACAAGCCGTCCTTCTGCCTCCTTAATTCCGGGATACGTACTCTAATTCTCACTTCTCCTGGGTCTATCACTCCTTGTCCTTTTATTATTATGATCTCTCACTATGAATCGTCTCGTGGTTCTCTCCTCTTCGGCTTTCTTCGGGCTGTCTCGTCCGTCAGCTTCTAGGGTGTGCGATGAGCGTGGGAGGGTGTATCACAGGTGGTATCACGATGAGCGTCCTCATGATGATAGTGGGAATGGGTTCAATCTCTTATCAATCTTCAATGGTCAATTTTCCAAGGTCCGGGCTCTTGTTTAGCTGGAGTACTGATCGGTGCTGCTCAGTTTCATTGTCGGGCGATTCTTCCTCTGCTTCGGTCTGACGGTGAGGAGAATTAAAGGGATTAACTGGGGAAAGACGGTGACCAACGGTGGCGGAAAATCTTTAGGGGGAAATATTGTGTGGAGGGGGGGCTCATTTCGCCTCGTCACACGACCTACGCGTGAATGCACGCCTCTTTTTAAAGTTGAATTTTTTTTCGAAAATATAAAACTCCATATTTGTGCAAACTCTGTTGTGAAGACTAAGCATTTGACTTTGCGTTTCCTGTTTTATATAATGTTTCGTCTATTGGAAACTAGTGAATCAGATAGTAATCGCATTGCTCTTCAGTGCACGAAGAGATTTTAGTATAAAAAGGGCACCGTCCTTCAGGGATTAAGCGGTAACAATACCCCTTACATGTGTTAAATTTTAGGCTCATCCTCGTGTCCATTGTTATTAATTCTGGGAAATTAATAAGCGGGGGTTCGAGCCCATCCGACAGAAGGCATGTGATCGTTCCTTTTTGCGTTATTAGTCCTTTTCTTTTTTTTTTTTTCTACCAATTCCATTGGTAGTAAGTTTCCGAATGGATCCGTAGCAATTTCCTGCCCTTGTGACAGGTATACAACCGTAACCACCTGCTACAGGATATCTACAGGAAGATATTCAACCTTTTAATGAAATAGATTTGTACAAAAGGTTAAATATCTCCGAAACTGCTCGGTCGATTGCGCCTATCCAAAATACGAATCTTCAATATTGTAAGAGCTATAATCACACCAAATTTCAACTTACTATTTTCTTTTTTTCTCAAAATATATTGCGTACAAGAATGAAAAAATTAAAAAAACGAAAAAACGGGAATATCTCTGATTTTTTGTATGGACAGGTATACATAGTTTGATTGATCTGGATGGGGGCCACCGAGACAAGTATTTTGAAAAAAAAAATTGAAATCCGTCCAGTAGTTCATGAGAAATTTGAAGAAATATATTTACACAAAAGGTTGAATAACTCCTGAACCGCTCGGCCATTTGCCTTCATCCAAAATACTAACCTTTTATGTTATAAAATCTTGAAGCATACAAAATTTCAACTCGTTATCGTGTAAACAAGATTTTTCATTAAAAAACGGAAAAACGGTAACATCTTCAAATTTTGTCTAAACGAGTATATATATTTCGATTGATCTAGATCGAGGCCATCGAAACAAGTAATTTGAAAAAAGAAATATTGAAATCGGTGGAGCAGATTTTGAGATATTGAGGAAAAACTAAATTTAAAGAAGTTGTTATATCTCAGGAACTACTTGGACCGATCGGGCTGAAACTGCGTAACAAAGTGAAGCTTAATCATAGCTACCACGAGCCAAAATTTCAGATTTTTATCGACAAATTTCACCGTATTTCTGTTGAATTTTCTAAAAATTAATCATCAAAATGTCGAATTTTCCAGCACATACATACAGACATGACCTAAAAACATCGTATTTTCATGTTTCATAACATTCTAAACCATTTGCCATCAAAATTAAAAAATCGACAAATCGATCAAATACAAGGCTTCCATTCGGAAGCAAAAAACTTCAATCACTACATTACTATATTGTGCAGTCCCTGAAGTTTTTCTCTGACTGTTATTTTCAATTGCATTTTAGCCAATCAGAACGCAGTATTTGAGGCTGTCAAACTGTTTTATTTCGGAAATTTCTAAAAAATTTCCGACCGAAATTCACTAGTAGGGGAGGGTGTGCCTGTACCGCTCAGCGGGTAACACCGCTCACCCGATTTTCGCCACAACCATCAACTTGAAAATTTCTTTCTATTCCTGATCATGAAGAATTGGATGATAGGATGTGATTGTCGGAAAAATTTCACTTTATTTACCACTTTAAATATGAAAAAACACGTAACGAAGTTTTGAGGTCTTTACACGGAGAGGAAAGTCAGAGAATTTTTGTGTGGAAATTCCGGGAAAAATTCTAGTGCTGCACTAGAATTGAGGCGCAATGTGCCAGCACATGAAAATTTCCTTATCGGCAAACGAAAAATTACTCGATAGACAAAAAAATTTTTCCCGGCCACAATTTTTGTTTTTTTTCCCTTAATTATTCATTAATAACATGAACGTTATTTAAATTAATGTACTACAGTATCAATAAAAATGAGCCTTAAGCCAAAGAATTATTTTTATAAATTTTTTTTATTGCATTTGTTCCACGATTACAGGGAATTACATTATCTTAAAACGTCATCACTGAATAATGTCAGTAATTTTCAACAATTTCTACGTCCGGATTTTTCACACTTTTTTCCCACAAATTTGATATGGTTAATCACACTTTCAGAGAAAAATAAGCCCAATAATTTTTAATTATCACATAATTCTGCAGAATACGTGCTAACGTTACCCGACGTTGAAGACGTCATTTGTAAGTCTCCACTCGGGACTCCCGAGTGCAGCTGTTCGACTCACTTCGGCAAGCCGAACGTTGCCGATGTCGCGCGGACACGTACGAGGATAGAAAGAATGGCAAAAATTCTAGTGCTAGCACTAGAAGAATTCTCCAACTGCACAATAAAATTTCTAATGTTACCAGGAATTAATAAAGTTTTTCCCACAATTTTCTACGGAATTCTCCACAACATCGACACACCGGGAAATTTTCTACTCCCAGCTCTAGAATTTTTCTCATGCTTCTTTGCAAAAATTGATTAACTTACAGCAAAATTTCCGTGCTGATCTAGAATTTTTATTCTTATTTCGATTAAAATATGGGAGTTCGGCAGTTTGGGCCTCGTTTCTGGTGCTGAGCACTAGAATTTTTCCCCGACTTTTCTCTCCGTGTAGAGGGCAAAATTTGTGGACTTGTAATTAAGGTTTTTGATAGTTTCAAATTCTCATATTAAACTGTGGTTATTCAATTCGTGGTACTTTCACGCGTAATTTGAGACCAATTCGAACTCAAAACTCCACTCATGCCAATAATTATCAACAATTTTGTTGACGCCGAGCGGAGCCGGTAATACCGCTCATAGGATCGGCCGCGTAGATGCTCAACAGCACTCGAGTACAGGTTAGGTTGCGGCGCGAGCGATATACGCAAAACCCTATGAGCGGTATTGGGATCGTGCCAAGAGGTATTACCCGACGGCGGGTAGTACCGCTCGATAGGCTCTCTTTTTTATTTTCAATCAATTTTATGGATTCTAAGGAGAATTAGGTGTCTACACTTCAAGAATAACGAGTTCAATAGTTAAAGAAGACTCACAAATACGTTTTTTATATTCAAGTTGAAATATAAAATATAAAACTGACATTTTCCCTTAGGTGGGCGGTACAGGCACACCCTCCCTTAGCTGTTCAAATGTTTCTCATCTTTCAACGCATTTCACGTTTAATATTCTGTGTGACAGATCAACAAAAAAGTGGGTTGTAAATGTATGGCTGTGTAAATGTATCCGGATGCTGTTCATTGCACTCTGCTTGACCGAAATCCAAGTGGAAAAATAATCAGTCAAAAACCACTCGTGCTTCAAAATTAATCGGATATTTTTGAAGTACTAGTGGTATTACTACAGAATATTACGCACGTCATGGGAAAAATAAACACTTGACGCATGCCAAAAAAATCTTTAAAAATTTCCAGAGAGTACTTTCAATGAGTATGAAAACAGATTTTTTCAGATTTTTTTGAATTCGTCAAGAAAATAGATGGCTGGATTTTCATGCGCAACATTTTTAGCAATCTCATTCAATTTTTCTCGTGATTCTAGTGCTGGTAGCTGTGATTGCACTGTTCAGTGCAGTGGCAGCAAAAGAAGATCCAACCCTTGATTGCATGAAACAGTGTCCAGCGATAAACCCCAACAATGATGTTTATTTCGTGCCCCACCGAAATTGCTCTCAGTTCTGTTCCTGCAACTATGGAACAGCCTACATAATACCCTGCCCAAAGGGTCTCTATTTTTCGGAGAAGCATAACACCTGCACCTGGCCCCGCGACGCCAACTGCAAAACTGCCCGGCAGATTGACGAACCCATTGCATTCCTGCGTGATCAGAGTCCATTCGATTATAGATCATACAGCCCGTGCATTGGAAGCTGCCCCGCTAGCGATCCACCTCATCTAACAGTGATCCTGGAGCATCAAGAGTGCGGTAAATACTGTAAATGTGTCAAGGGAGTTCCCCAGGAGCATAAGTGCCCGTTGGATTTACACTACAGCCCAGTGTTGGGAGTCTGTACTTATCCAGGTGAAGCCAAGTGCCCAAGATGGACTACACCCAAGCCCACACCACCTGCATGTTGGTGCCCTGGTACTGATACGTCTACACCAACTGTGACTGTAACACATACTGCAACTGCATCAAGTACTGCAACTGTAACTGTCACACATACTCCAACTAAAACAACAATCCCAACTGTCACCGTCACACATACTGAAACTGCACCAACAACTCCATCTCTAAGTGTCACACATACTCCAACTAAAACAACAATCCCAACTGTCACCGTCACACATACTGAAACTGCACCAACAACTCCATCTGTAACTGTCACACATACTCCAACTACAACTACAATTCCAACTACGACTGTCACACAAACTCCAACTAGTACAATAACTCCAACTACGACTGTAACAGTGACTCCAACACCAACTAATACACTTCCTCCCCCTGGGCCGACACCTCACCCTGATGCGAAAGGATGTATTGGTACCTGTCAGTACGTTAATCCTGTGGACGTAGAGCAGCTCCCCCACATTCACTGCAGTAAATTCTGCAAGTGTAACTTTATGGAACCCGTGGTGTTCAATTGTGAAAAAGGCCTTCACTACAATCCTATAAAACGAGTCTGCGATTACCCTGGGAGGGCTGAGTGCACAGGAATTAAGGACTAATCTCCTCCATGAAGAAAATTGATATTCGAAATTCATGTACGAGGTTGATGATCAGAAATTGCTGATATCTTTTTAAATATCTTTTCATTTTTCTGACGTAGTCAGAAACACAAAGTTTCCATTTGTTCTGACATTTCGGTATTATGAATATACGTAATTAGTTTTATGAGACACTGCATCATGGTTATTTGTGCACGATGACGGATGTTTTGTTGGTTACGATTAAAATCAATATTAATTCCAAGCGATGTATGAGTTTTTCTTTCAACGATCTGTAATTGTGCGAAAATTTAGCATTTTATTATGAAAAAATTCCTTTTTCCTGTGACGTTTGTTAAGATCACATGGAGAGGAAAACTTATTGAAAATTGTCCCCGAATTTCAGGAATCTTGTGGCCCGTTGGCTTTTAAGAGAGGTTTTTTTTTAACCAAAATTCGATTCGAAAATGGAATAGCTCTAGTAGAGATGAAAAAATGTCGAGTGGAAATTACAATATTTCCGTGCAATTTTTACATGAAATATGAACGTTTTTGATAGCCTAATCGTGTTTACGAAAATTTTTACGAATTTTTGAAGCACCAATTCCAAGGTGCAGGGACAAATTTCTGCAGATTTTTCTCTCGGTGCATGTCAATTGCTTAATTGAACATCGGAATTGATTGAATGAATGTTTGATTTGTATAAAGAATTTGATGCTGTGCCGGTTTTAATTTAGAAGCGGAATGGTGAAAGGTAACATGCAATTCGACTCAATTTTACGTCTACCTTCGGGTAATGCATCTTTTTTCGGGAAGAATACTGTTCAAAAATTTTGGTCGCAATGTGCTACACTCCTTGGAGATTTTCATTACATTATAATTCCACTGAAATTTAAATGAATTTCATCATTTAACGGCAAATTTCTGTTCAATTACTCTTTGAAAATTGATGGAAATGAGAAAAATTCTTTATAAATTATTATTGACTGGAAGATTACTATGGAATTGTAGAAGGCCAAAGAATCCAAAATAGACCGAAAATTGGTCTAGGTTAAGATAAATCAATTTCTCTCCACAACACAATATTTTTAAATTGTGAAAGCAATCCCTCTTCGCTTTTAACCCAGGAGTCACATCGAGGACATGGCGGTGCATCGGCTCCCAACGTGAAGAACCTGAACAGCATCACCAACCCTTCGAGACCATAACTATACTTTTCTGATAAACAATTCCTCTGCTGTCCTTTTAACAGCAAAAAATACAAAGACATTTATATTAATTGTATCCAAATAGTTGTGAAATCTATATAGATATACACTCACACACTATTACATTTGTAAATGTTATAAGCCATCAATTAAAGTCCATATTTAAGATTATAGAATTATCCCGTTCTCAATCTATGGATTTATCGTCTGAAAGACGTTGAATAATTCCCAGTCCTGAAACTAAGCTAGATAAGAACTACACACAGAAAAATTGAAATGTAAATTATATTTAAGAAGTGATCTTTTATACTTCCTGAACCGTATTTCATGCTTGAAGTTGAAGCGTACATTACCCTCAAAATCGTTGTAAATTACGATTACATAAACGTAATTTATGATTTCGCAATCGTGAATTACATGCAAAATTGCCGTGAATTACCATGATTTTTCTGGTATTTTACATTTACTCATCCGTAATTATATACATCCATAATAGGTTTGAATAAAGAAGCGACAGTAGTGGTCACACAATTAGCATGGAGCTCCGGCGGTCATCCAAGTCCTGCAGTGTTTTAGTCTGGATAGTACTTTGTGACGGAATTTTTGAGAATTCCGCCACCTGTACGAGAGTTCACCGTAAGATCGGAAAACTGCGAACTTTCGACCAAGTAAATTGTAAGGAGAGAGAGTAACGAGGGTGAGTAAATAAATTTTAAGAGAGAGAGAATCGCGTCATATTCCCTCCCCTGAAGGTTAGCACCCCTGTCGAAGGGAGATGCAACATTCCTAATCTTTAGCTCGAGCCTTGGATATCGATCATCAGAACATCCGGACATCACCATCCGCGGGAGAATAACATTCGATTCTTTAAAACCAGTAAACTCACGTGTCGATCCACGATAAAAATGAGTAAAAATAAAATATTCAGTTGAATTAAAAACGAATAGTTAAATTCTAGATGTTTCGAGGTAATTTCCAGTTTAGTTTTGGATTGAGGGATTACGGTTAGAGTCATTACGGTTTAGGTAAATTTACAGTCAAATGTATTTACCGGTTTAATAGATATTTTGTTAGTTTCGCGAATTCTGAGTGGAACGAGTCTCCACCGTGGATCGTGGCCGATAGACTGAGCCTCCCGGTGAGATATCGTATTTCCGTTGAGTGTTAGTTGCTGATCATCGAGTTTGAGCTGAAATGCTCACGCTCCCTAGCTTACGCGTTTCATGCGGTTATTGGGCTCACTGATACGGTTGGAAGGCCCTGTGGATGAATTTAGGCCTCTCGCCTGCATGGATTGCCATGGCCCATTTTAGATTTACGGTTTTGTTAGAGGTAATTCCCCAATAACTCCCGGGAGAGTGACAGCTACGAAATATGCACTCACTCAGTGAAAAGTGCATTCGCGTTGATAAAAGGCGAACAACCGCCTATATTTTCCCCTCAATCCGAGTTTCGTTCGTTTCGTTTAGTAAATTCCGGTTAAGATTCAGTTTCAAACAATCTTCAGTCAAAGAAGATAAAGTGCCAGCCACATAAAATTATAAATTATCTTAAGACTCCATATTTGGAGTTTAAATTTGAATTAACGTCCCCGCGCGCGAGTTCCCACCGACTGCAGAAGTAACTCTCCGGTGACTGGTTATACGGCGCCTCAGTCGCCCGTCGTCACACGAGAACCTCGGTCGAACGCTGGAGTCAGTCCGACCTTCGAGTCGCAGTTCCGCCCTCGTCCAAGTCGCCGCGCTTTTGGAGCAGCTAAGGGAAAGACGCCGAGAGCACTCCCCGTGGAACCTGGATTGGAGGAAAAATGGTGAGAATACCCTCTGACNGGTTATACGGCGCCTCAGTCGCCCGTCGTCACACGAGAACCTCGGTCGAACGCTGGAGTCAGTCCGACCTTCGAGTCGCAGTTCCGCCATCGTCCAAGTCGCCGCGCTTTTGGAGCAGCTAAGGGAAAGACGCCGAGAGCACTCCCCGTGGAACCTGGATTGGAGGAAAAATGGTGAGAATACCCTCTGACCCCCAAGTGCACACTCCCAGAAGGGCAGTAGTGCACATTTTCCCCGAAAATCCATAGGAGGACCATGGGAGGCGAATGCACATGCTACGGCATCACCGAATGACGGCATCGTGCCCTCTCCGAAAACCCCGTATTTGTCGAACGATAAGTGCACCCATGGAGTGCATAATCGGTTCGCAAATACTCTCTCTATTCCTGAGAAGTGATTGTGTAGTGATAAGTGGAGAAAATCATAAATAAACTAGGGTTATGCGTGCACGCATGCTCTCCACGTGGTGTGGATGTAGCTGTGATGCTGTTTTGCATGCTTTTCATTGCTCGGACGGATTGACGCCTCATTTGGGAGCGCTTTTCGTTTCGTAGCATTTTTCCCTGATCTTTTATTTCCATAATACTGATCTCTCGTCGAATAGAAGCTCGTGGGCTCCCTATAATTGAAGCGACGCCACGAGGCTCCTGGTCGAGAGAGGATTCGAGAATGTGAACTGAGGGCACCTTGCGAGTGCCTATTCCATTCCTCGAGTTTTCTCCTTCAGTGAATATTCGTCTTCCCGTTAATTCCTCGTCGCTAGCGGTTCTCGTATATGTATGGATCCCCGTGCACGCCATTTCCGGTTGTGCCGAGAGATCATACGTATTTAGATTTTTCTCCCCCGTTCTCGCAGATATTTCTCTCTCCCAGGGTCCATTCGTTTACTCTCTCGGGAATAAATCGTAGTAAATGAATTTAGAATTTCTATTTATTTTGGATCGATTTTGAGAAATGAAATAAATCACGAGACAATTTAACATAATCCACGTGTCTCAGATTTAATTAATTTTCCGATCTGGTTTTGAGTAATTTTGGAATATTTCTTTGGGTTGCACGACACCTTTTCCTAAGACCGAGCGACCGATCCTACCCCACTCTCCGAATTCCTCCGAGCTAGTCGAAATAATTCCGCAACCTCTCCCTTCGATTTTCCCTAGTTATCTTTAAGTCTAGCTTTCTTCTCGTTTGGTTCCCTTTGGCTGCGGTTTGTTGATACCGCCGAAACAAAAATCAACTGGCACCCGACACCAGTTCCTCAAAAGAGTAGCTGGCTTCTCGTTCTCCGGTTATGGCGTTTCTACCGTTTCTACGGTTTTCGAGAACTTCAGGGAACATCGAAGTGGAAGAGGCCGAAGGTGACACACTACGGCTACCGTTCAGTCTGGAATTTTCTGTGGGTTCAAGGTTTCGGATCCATTCCGTTCATATTAGTCTACGTTGAGAAAAATCACCGTCACAATTGGCGCCCGACATGGGGCCCCACTAACCAACGTGAACCTCAAAACTTAAAATATAAATCGTAGACTTATCCATTACTCGATGCGAAACTCAAAACAGCCGGAGTGTTGTCACCTTCGGCCTCTGCTCCTCGATGTCCCCCACGAAAATCCTCGAAAACCGAATAAACGAAATAAACGGGAAAACGAGAAAAATGGTGTCGGGCGCCAGCTGACTTTTGTTCCAGCGGTGTCAACGAACCGCATTCAAGAGAACCATACGAAAACTTAGCCATAATTGTGGGAGATCAAGGGAGAGGTTGCGGAATTAGCTCGACTAGCCCAGAGGTATTCGGAGAGCGGGGTAGGATCGGTCGCTCAGTCTTAGGAAGGATGTCGCGAATTTACCAAAAGATACAGAAAAATCAAAAGGAAGAATCAGAAAATTAATTACATAGGGGATGAGAGAACTATTTTAAATTTACTCCGTGATTTATTCAATTTCTCAATAATATTCCAACTCAAATAGAATTTCTCTTCTTCATAAATAAAATAAATTAATTTCAATTAAATTCAACAGAATTAAANCAACTCAAATAGAATTTCTATTCTTCATAAATAAAATAAATTAATTTCAATTAAATTCAACAAAATTAAATTCAATTAAATTCCCGAGAGTGAGAGTACGTGAATTGACCTTGAGAGAGAGGTTATCGCGAAGGGAAATGGGGGGTCTGAAGAATTCAAGCCAACGATCTCTCCGCATTGTCCAGAGACTGGAGTGCTGGAGGATCCGAAGGCTATATCAATTTCGATGCGATGATCTCGGCGAATCGTCTCAGAGTAATAAATGACAATTAATGGGCGAGGGACTCGAGTGTGCAAATGTCACTTAAGAGTGCCATTTTGCCCTATGTTCGAGTCCGTCCTCCATCAAGAGCGTCGTGGCGTCACCGGAAAATCCCTGGAGCTCACGAGCTTCAATGTCGTGACCTTCGGGGTCTCGTCTTCCAGGAAACATTAAATTAATAAATTCAGACTTTGGGGGAGCTTTACTGAGCTAGAAGAGCACTCATTTGAGGCTTCAACTCGCTCAGGGAAGAGAATAAACCGCCATGTGCACGACAGCGTCACCCACGGCACGTGAGGAGGATGTGTGCACTGGTAGGCCTGTTTTATCCACTTTTTCCCACTAAAATTGGCATTGGACATTCCCCATACGTTCTCGAGGGTTCCAGTGAACTAATTATGCACTCAGAAGGTGCATTAATTGTTCACAAGACCTCTTGGTGAACGGGGAGAGCACAATGGCGCCATGGCAGAGCATGAGCCATGTGCAGTCTTTTATTGTGTCTCACTGTCCATTGTCACTATCACTGGAGAGTCACTGGGGTTTTTATCACTGGGGAGAGGTCTAGGAAGCCGAACGAGGGTTTTATGCACTCACTGGTGCATTTTTCCACTCGCTCGGAGGAGTCTTGGTGGTTGGGAATGCATCTCGGTGTCGCTCTAGTGAACGCCGGTGCACTTTTCCCGAAGGTCATCACTGGGCACACTGGGAATAAATGCACTTCTCTCCTCGGGAGAGAGTGCACATGGTGAATAAAAATGTACTTACCATGTTCCTCGTGTGGGCCCTCGGCGATGGTCTCCACCAACTCTCTCAATCGTTGCGGATGTTCTCGGGGATGTCGTCGCAGTGGCTGCTCGGGTCCAACTCTCTCGTAAACTGCGTTTAACCGGCGGAGGTTCTCAGCTGGGTGGTGCGACTGACACGCCGTCTAGCTGCCGCTGAGGCGGGCTCATGTAAACGAGCACGCGGGGATTTCGATTTGAAGGGGTTTTAAACTTATTTGGGCATTTCGCCGTTAATTATATTTTTTATGAGTTAACCCAAGGGGTTTTTATCCATAATGACTGAACGATAGGTATCTGGAGGTTCGGAAAGGGGGACTTAAGGCAGTTGTTCGCCTTATCTTCTCGCGAATGCACTTCACACCTGAGTGAGTGCACTTTTTCGCTGCTGTCACTCTCCCGGGAGTCATCCTGGAGTCACCGTGAACAAATCTAAATAGAGAATAGCCCATGGCGATCCATGCAGGCGAGGGGGCTATGTTCATCCACCTGGCCTTCCAGCTGCACTGGTGAATCCAATGAGTCCACGAAGCACCTTAGCCAGGGAGCGTGAGGGTTTCACCTCAACCTCTGTGATCAGCAGCCTGCACTCAACGAGATCAGCGAGATCTCACCGGAAAGCTCGGTGTATCGGCTCTGAACCGCGGTGGATCGTCGTCCCTCTCAAGATTCGCGAGATTCCACAATACAAAAATATAACTAGGAAAATACAATTACTGTACATTTTCCCTCAACCGTAAAACCGAAAATTTATCCCCTAAAATCCGAAATAAACCAGAAAGATAACTGAAACTAAAAGAGAACAAAAACTTTGATATTACTTGAACCGGAGATTTTACTTTTTACCCGTTTTTAATGTGTATCGACACGTGAATTTAATTATTTATAGAAATCGAACGTTGTTTTCCCCGCGAGGCCCTTCCTGATGTTCTTGGAGACCGGTTTCTACGAGCTGGAGCTAAAAGGGGTGTTGCATCGCCCTTCGGTAGGGGTGCTAACTTTGGGGTTAAAGGAATCGCGACTCTCTCTCGGAAAAGGTCAAAATAACTTCACACTTACCTACTCACTCTTACGATTTATTTAGTTCTATGACGAAGTTGTGTACAGGTGGCGGAATTCTCGAAAATTCCGTCACAGGCCTCCCTCCTTCTCGTTCCCTATCCGTTGTTGTCCGTGCATCTGGGGTAGAGGTGATAGTCTCTCGGTTGGTCTAGGCTCCACTAGCCGGGCGAACGTCTGATGGAGTGGAAGAGAAGAGAGAAGTGTCCTGGAAATAAAAGAGAAACCGAACCCACGCCCCTAAACCTAGGGTCGAAAGAAAATGTCGGCTACACGCTGATTTTCCCTTGGAAAATACGGAGCTCCTTTTATTCTCTCCTCTCAGGATAGTAGAGTTTACCTTATCCTAATCCTTATTAAATACTCTATGGCACTTATGACTATGTCAGGTAGAGAGTTACAGTCCACCTGGCAGCCTGAAGCATCAGTTGTGGCTTTCCTCGAGGACTGGGGCTCTATCACAGCTAGTGCAGTCCATGGTGTTTTGACGGCTTGGGGTCTGGGCTTTCCCTCTCCGGGGAAAAGCTCTCTGGACTCGATGATGATGCTCGTGAGATGGAGTCTCGCTGATTGAGGAGCTGGAGAGGTCCGCTGCGACTCGATCAGAGAGGTGGGGGTCTTAGGGCCACTACTCAGTTGAGGGGCTCCTTTTTGAGTTGTTGGACTTACGGGTGGGGGGGGGATCTGCCCCCTGGCCGGCCACTGCCTTTGGGCACCTGGTGCCTTCTCGAGGACTCGTATCCTCGTCGCGGCGAAGACCGACGTGGTGAGTCTTGGCGTTGACGACGGTCATCCTCATGACGACGGTGCTCGTGACCTCGCCGGTCCCCGTGGCGGTCATCCCCTCTCTCTGGTCGATCGGGGGAGTAGCGATCTTCCTCCGAGCGTCGCCTTCGAGGCTCATCATCACGGGCACCTCCGGGGGGTGAACGTCGTCTCCTTGGTGGGCAGGATGGTCGGTCCTCTCTCATGTACCTCTCTGTCAGCTGCTGAGTGAGGGCTTTCACGAGGCTCAGCATAGCCTCGGCGGAGGGATTTGGTGAGCGCTTCTGCTCTGACTCACGTGAGTGGTCAGAGGAGCGTCTTTGCCTGGGGGTTCGTCGTCTCGACGGGGAATGCCTTCGCCCTGGCGAGGGATCTCGTCGAGGTCGTGGAAATGTTGTCCGAGTTCTCTGGGTCGGTCTCTCGGGGGATCGTCGACGTGGGGATCGACGAGCCTGAGAGGGTTCCTGGCGAGGTCTCTCGGGTTTCGCCCTCCGTGAGGTACGCTGAGGGTCCTTGGACTGGGGAGCAGGGACTATTCTCCACTCGCTTCCGACGGGCGAGGGACTGCGGTTGGTGTGTGCCATGTATCTGTACTGCAGCCTTCCCCTGCCTCTTCCTTTACTCAGGGCTGCACAATGCATGTCCCACTGAGGTTCAGGCATGGGTGGTGGAGGTCCTGCTGGGATCTTTGGGGATGGTTGTACTACCTGAGGGGGTGCTACCTGTGGGGGTGCTGCCTGTAGGGTAGGAGCACTCTGCCCAGGTGGTGCACCGGCCGCTGAGGCTGCGGCGGCTGCGGCTTGGCGTGCGATGGCTGCCTCGATCCGCTTCTGCCTGCCTCCCCACCTTGTGGGTCTCTTCCTCTTCCCTGGAGCTTCTGTGCTGGGTGTTTCCTCGTTGTCCCAGTCATCTAGGGGTGAGGAGTATAGAGGGTATAGGGGGTGAGGGCGATCTGGTCGGTTCGCCTGACTCTCCCTCCGGTGTGTCGCTCGAACCTCTCGCCACCTCATCTCTTCTTCTACTTGATCGGCCCAGGAGGTGAAAAGCGGATGGTTAGGTGAGAGGCGGTACTACCCTGGGGGCGGGCCTCTCAGCTGAGGATCCTGTCGTGGTGGTCGTGGAGTCCGCCAAGGGCCTGGGTCTCCTGGTGGCTCCCGTGGACGCTGCGGGTCCCAGGTTTTGATGAGCTGGGGGTGCTACCGGCTTCGGGGGTGCCCCTCCATTACTCGACGCTCCGGTGAATACCTCCAGCTGTCGGTCGTCCTCCGTCACGTCCATCAGGAGGAGGTCGGAGTTTGAGTCGACCTCTGGGGTCGAGGAGTTCGGGGGCTTGAACTCACTCAATGTCATAGTGTGTAGGCGGTTAAGAGGGATTGAGACCTGGACTTCTGGGCGTCCCTCTGGCTGCTTTGGTCGCCGAACATCTCGGAGACGCGGGGCCGGTTGAGATGAGGCGACTTCTGTCGTTGGGGTCTCTTCTCCCTTTTTAGTCGGCTGGGCTCCCACTACCTGGGCGCTAGCACGATGCTCACACTCCAACTTCTCCCCCCGGGAGTCTGTTGAGTTCTCCCGGTCCCGCCTCGGTGAGCGTGATGTAGCGGAGTTGTCGGAGGAGCTGTCTTCACCGCTGCTGCTGCTGGAGCTACTGCTGCTCGAGCTGCTACTGGTCTAGGCTCCGGGAATTGAGGCACTCTAGTCCTGCCGGTAGCCAGGCGCAAGGTGCCTTTCAGAGCCCAAATGAGTCCTGGTGGCTTCCTGTCAAGCCTCCACAGGGAGTCCTTGTAGGGCTCCAACTTACGCCACACCGAGGAGTTCAGCTCCCGGGGCTGCTTCGATGGAGACCTTCTGGACGCCTTGATATGTCGGTCCCTTGAACGTGGGGAACTTGTGGCTTGGTCTCGGGGTTGAGGGTCACTGGGAATGGCATCCTGGACGGTCTCCGCGGAGGAGTACTGGGAGCTCGATGATGTTGGCTCACCAGACGTCAAGTCCTTCTCACCAGCTTGCTCATGGTTGAAGTTGTCCAGGGAGCTGGCTTCACTCCGCTCACCTGGGGCTATGGATGGGGCTGACAGGGGGCTAGGTGTGATCTTCTCACCTGCAGCTATCCCTCTATCCTCTTCCTGGATCTCCATGGGGCTAGACTGCTGTTCTATTACAATCAAAGACATGTTACGACCGGTATATTCAACATCTATATTATCCCCTGGGCTATTCTACTCGGTCAACCTTAGATGTTTTTAAGGCATAAATTACATGGAAAGTGGGATGCTATATGCTATCCATCGACTTTCCGGACCTCTATACGAGGGAAATAATTGAATAATTATCAATGCACAAATTAAAAAATTCGGAGGCACACGGGCTCGAACACAAGTGGGGTATGATCCCACATCTTCTGTTTGCCGGACAGGTGCTCTGCCAATTGAGCTATTGTGGCCTCCTCCGCATCTCCGAATTTCAGAACTTGTGCATATCTTCTCACTATCCCCACTCCCCCCCACCCTTCCCGTTTAAAGCCATACTGAAATATAACAATCAAAAACATTTTACGACCGGTATATTCAACATCTATATTATCCCCTGGGCTATTCTGCTCGGTCAACCTTAGATGTTTTTAAGGCATAAATTACATGGAAAGTGGGATGCTATATGCTATCCATCGACTTTCCGGACCTCTATACGAGGAAAATAATTGAATAATTATCAATGCACAAATTCCCCTCGTATATAGCATCCTACTTTCCATGTAATTTATGCCTTAAAAACATCTAAGGTTGACCGAGTAGAATAGCCCAGGGGATAATATAGATGTTGAATATACCGGTCGTAAAATGTCTTTGATTGTAATATTTCAGTATGGCTTTAAACGGGAAGGGTGGGGGGGAGTGGGGATAGTGAGACGATATGCACAAGTTCTGAAATTCGGAGATGCGGAGGAGGCCACAATAGCTCAATTGGCAGAGCACCTGTCCGGCAAACAGAAGATGTGGGATCATACCCCACTTGTGTTCGAGCCCGTGTGCCTCCGAATTTTTTAATTTGTGCATTGATAATTATTCAATTATTTCCCTCGTATAGAGGTCCGGAAAGTCGATGGATAGCATATAGCATCCCACTTTCCATGTAATTTATGCCTTAAAAACATCTAAGGTTGACCGAGTAGAATAGCCCAGGGGATAATATAGATGTTGAATATACCGGTCGTAAAATGTCTGATTGTAATATTTCAATATGGCTTTAAACGGGAAGGGGGGGGGGAGTGGGGATAGTGAGAAGATATGCACAAGTTCTGAAATTCGGAGATGCGGAGGAGGCCACAATAGCTCAATTGGCAGAGCACCTGTCCGGCAAACAGAAGATGTGGGATCATACCCCACTTGTGTTCGAGCCCGTGTGCCTCCGAATTTTTTAATTTGTGCATTGATAATTATTCAATTATTTCCCTCGTGTAGAGGTCCGGAAAGTCGATGGATAGCATATAGCATCCCACTTTCCATGTAATTTATGTCTTAAAAACATCTAAGGTTGACCGAGTAGAATAGCCCAGGGGATAATATAGATGTAGACTGCTGTTCGTCTGCTGGGACTTTCCCACTTTCCCCCTCCAGAAGTTGGTTTTGCCCTTGAGAACTACTCTCATCTCCTTTTGGGGCTTCTGGGGCCACTGGAGTGGTTGGAGGTGTCATCAGGGAGCTAGGCTTGTCCTGCTCGCCTGAATACTTCTCCAGGTTATCCAGGGAATCAGATGTTGTGGCGTCAGTCTCCATGATCTCGAGGGGATTGGGACTGATTTTGTGGGTGGCCTCCTGAGCTTTCTCGGTGTTCAAGAGTGCTGACTTCTCTGTCGCATCATCTTGAACAACCAGGACTACTTGGGGTTCAGGGTCTTCCTCGAGGAGTTGACTTGGCGGATGCTCGGGAACCCGTCTGGGATCCTCTAGCAGGGTTGGCCGGGTCTTCACTCCTACTTCCCCGGTGTCCTTTCTCTTGTCCTTGACCCCTCTCTTCTTCTTTTTCTCCTTCGGCGCCTCCCTATGCAGCTTCTTATCACCCTACAATCAATTCCAGAATAATTTAAAGAAAATGATGAACGAGTTATGCTTAAATATTGGGGATGAAGAAGAGGTAGGTTAGAGGAACAGGGTGTAGGGGTTTCTTTGGATGTTACTACTCTTGCTCCAGAGGGGGAGTATAGGGTTTCAAGTCTTCGATTGACGAAACTCCCTTTTTCCGTCCAGCCAGATCTACTAGCTCATATCGCGTGCTCGATAATTTCTTATCGATCACGTACGGACCATCGAATGACTTTGCGAGAGCTGCTGAGAACATCTTGGCTATATTGGAAAGAGTGTGCGTCCTTCGGAGCACTAACTCCTCAATTTCGAACTCTCCTTCCATGTCGTAAGTTGTAGTAGTGGGCCTGCCTGTCTTGGGATTCCCTCAGGGCATGTTTGAAGACTTTTCGTAGCGTCTCCAATCTCTTCATGCGCTCAACCCATTCCTGGGGGTCGCATGGGATGGGCGCTACTTCTCCCTCTAACTCTTGTCTCAGTGATGCTGGAATTTCAGGTTCTCTCCCAAAATTTGCGAAAGCCGGAGATGCTTTTAGAGAGCTGTGAACTGCGGTGTTGTAAGCGAAGCGAAACTCGTGGAGATGACGATCCCACTCGCGCTGATCATCATCCGTGAAGGCTCTCAGCATCATCTTCAGCACTCTGTTGACCCTTTCCATTGGATTACCCTGGGGGTGATAGGGTGGAGTATTCTGTAGGGTCATTCCTGTTTCCTTCGCTAGGGCCTTTATGTCCTTATTTACGAACTCCAGGCCGTTGTCTGAGTAGAAAAAGCGTGGTGTCCCCCATCTGGTGATCACATCTCGTTCGATGACTTCCCTGATCCTTCTTCCCGTTGCTCTCCTGTAATCCATACAGGGGATCTTCTGCCTCTTCTTCCTCCTCCAGCTGTTCGATGGCCTCAGTGGGTAGCTCTTGGAGGGGTTCCGCTCGTACTGCTCTAGCAGGAGCTGGTTCAACCCTTTCCCTCACTACTCGTGGAGCTGATCCTCGTAGGCGATCATATGAATGAGATCCCTGAGGGGAAGCTCCTGAACCTCTGCCTCGCGTATTTGACCTCGGGCGCAAGGCTCTAGCTGCGGCCAGGCATTCCTCTGCGTCGGAAATGCTGCCCTCTGGCTGGATGTCGTCCCTGGGGTCCTCTTCAGCCTCGTCCCCGTCATCGTAGAGGTTGAGGGCCCTGAAACTGACTCTCCGACTCGAGAACGTTTTTCTGTCCCGTCCCGTCGACCTGCTCTTGTAGGCGTAGCTAGGGCACATCGACTCCTCGGGTCTCGGTGGAGGTCTTCTGCGACTGGCTCCTTCCAGCAACCTCTCGTGACGTAGGGCCGCCATCTCGAGCTGGGCCATAGTCATTCCCTCATATAGACGAATAACGCTGCTGTACTGAGGCAGCATGTTCTCGTGGGCATTCTGAATCTGTTCCCACTCAGACCACATAGGCTCCGTCCGAGAGAAGAGGCCGCTCATGCAGCCAAACTATTCTCCGATGCTCTCGTGCTCTCCCTGAGGGCGCTCGGTGATCTCTCGACGCAAGACAATCTGGTAGTTGGGGCTGGCCAAGCGGACACGTAAGGACTGGCGTACCATCGGCCAAGTCCTGAAGTACTTGAATTTCCCACGGTACCAGATGAGCGCTGGTCCCGCGAAGCAGAACGGCAGCCCATTGATCAAGTCTGCTCCAAGATGGGGAGCATGTTGAGTCCCTCAATCCGATTGATGAAGTCCTCAAAGTCTTCGCCTTTGAGCCCTTTGAAGCTCAGGTCCCACTTGCGCATAGCATTAAACGTGGCTGCGGCCGAAAGTGGTTTGCCATTTCCCTGGAGAACCTTCTCATCCAGGAGACAATCGTCTAGCTCTTCTCGTTGAGGGTCAGGCTCGTCCTCCCGGTGCTCTCGGCGAGGATTCTTCGAGAGCACTTGACCCGGAGCGTC